GGATAAAGGACGGCTGGCATAACTTGTGCCCAGAAAGGGTCTCTTGCTCATGGCTCCGCTTCGGCTTACGACGAGCGCAGCCACCATACTTCAGTCCACCTATGGTTCAGCAGCAAGCGTTGCCCCTGTGTAGTGCCGTATGAGAGAGGCTGTTCTTTTCAAACGTTTCTACCCGTTTGGGTTTCAGGCTGTCAGTGTATGTAGCGCATCCGCTTCCATTTTGAACCACCACTGCCTCTGGGGCATCCGCAGCTAAGGCAGACTTTTTCGCAATCGCAAGGTTTGTGCCCTTTTGCATCTTGAGGTGCGAAATCAGCCGGCGTTTAGGAACTTGCCGTTTTAGGCAACGAAACCGCCCATGGGCAGCTTCACTGGCCCTCACATAGACGCGGGATGCTTGCCGATGGGACAACGTCCGCGGTCTCGCACGTTTCACCGTGATCCTGTCCATCCACCCCTGCTGAGGGTGAAGCATGTGACGCGGAGGTCGAGGTCGTATGTGACCTGGCGGTAGAGAGAAGGGGGTTCGCCTCGTCGCGGAGCACTGAATCCATGACAATTCATGACATTCAAATTCAGTTCATGCCTTCAAATTCATGGAAAATTAGGGACAAACCGTACACTACCTCAGGATCCGGATTCTCGCCGTGCGCAAGGTGAATGGGTCCACAGTTCCAGTAGCGTGGCCATGTGTTCTCCAAATAAAAGTACGCAGGCTACGTTTGTCACATCCGGGTCTCCGTCGCCCGCGTTGCCGCATAATGACACGCCCAACCATAGCCAACCGCGCTACTTGTCTGCTTCCTCTCACTTTTGTTTGCGTCAACCCTGAGAGCGTGTTTTCGCTACGGGACGCTTGTGTCCCAACGCGTTTGTTGCGCGTTGGAGGATAGATAGGCGTGGTGAAAGTAGCGGGAGACGGCGTTTTGCCACCACTATCTTGCAATCCAGCTCCCGTGCACTTTTGAGCGAAGAAAGTGACAATCTACTGCAACTCCGGACACCTTTGCCTCTCACATGCAAGGACCGTATTCGGAGGTGAGTTTACGGATCTGTCTTCGAAGGCGGTGGGCACCATGGCTAGGAGCGGGCGGGCGGTTACTGTCAACGTCCACTGGTGCAAGGGCTGAGTGGCAGGGCCGTTGTTGGGGAATGCCTCACAAGGGTCCGTATTGCCGCCGGAGAGGCAGGGGTCGTGCCTGGCTGACAAAAATTTATTTTGATAGTTAATTTTTCTCGCTTCACGGACGGAGAAAAGGGGAAGGCAGTTCTTGCTCATTGTTGGGAGGGGGGGGGGCTCGTATTTACTTTCGGCCTTGTGGTAGGTGGTGGGCGTGGTGGTTGACTTTTCTGTGGTTTTTGTCTGTTTCACGCGTGCTGTTACCTCCCCCCCACGCCCGCCTCGACAGCTCGATGAGAAGAGAGCAGAGGGCCGGAAGGGGGGGGGGTCCTACGACCGCACCCAATCCCCCCCCTAAAAAAAAAGGAGGGAGGGGGGTCGTAGATTCGACCAAAATCCCACAGAGGAATTTGCCCTGAAGTGGGGTGTAACTGAACGCCCGCTGGGCCCTTCATCATTTCAATGACGTTGGCTTTAATCACGCGCCCCTAAACCAGCGTACGCGCTGCCTTCAAGGGTAAAGCCTGCGACAATAGATGGTGAGTAGCGGAGCCCAAAAACGAAGGATAAGGTAATAAGTAACTGAATAATGAAGGAAAAAGCAGACAAAACCACCCCAAACCTCAAATGGGACCCCTGCTGTTTCCAGCTCGCACGTGCATACAATGAAAAGAGCCGTCTTCGCACGAATTCTCATTTGTTGTTATCGTATCGATATCAGCTCTCTTTCCTGATGTCCTCACCACACCATCCACAATGGAGAAAGCTAATAGAGGGACTACGAGATAGTAGCTAGTGGCCACCGGAGTTGGCGTGGAAGTGAGGGATGCTCATAGGCCTAACTGTTCACTTTGTACCGAATGCCTGCAGATTTTCCATTTTGAATGTAGTACAGCCTCTACAATAGCTCACCGGACCATCTACCACTTTTGGGATGGTATAGCCTTAGTGCCTCTAGAGCTACGATTCCCGTGATCGAGTGCAACGGTAGCAAGTTCTCAGTCATGAGCCAGTAGCGCATCAAAATCTTATCGATAGTGAAAGAAGCGAGAAAATCTGAGAACACCCTGAGCACAAACCTCCCTCCCCCCAGCAGTGGGGCCGGCGCTTTGGACAAGTTTGTCGGACGTCGGCAAATCCAGTAGCAGGATTCGATGTACAACCAATTCCCGGTAAATGCATAGGAAATCGTCCTAGGAGAACACTATGTACACACGCAATTCCGCTTGTAAGCCGTTGTCTTACAGTGAAAATGATCGTGGTCGCAATGGTTGCCATGATCACGCGTCCCTAGCTTCTTTATTTCGCCATTTCCACAGGGAAAGTTGTATATTGCATTTATACTGCAAATGTGGATAACGATGCCAAATGCACGGAGGCATTTATGGATGGAAACTACTTTTTAGGTTCAGGATAATTCCAGTGCGCTGCATTCCCACGAGAAGCTAGGCAGCCGCAGAAATAAGGCAAACACCTCACTTATAGGGGAAAGGTCGATGTACACTCTGGATCGCTGCGGACGGTTGGGCGTGCCACGCAATATGAGTGTGTCATCTCTCAAAGCCGTCCTCTGCCTTTCTTGTGGAGCGCATTGCCGACAAAAAGTGAATTTAGGTCAGTTGGCAAAAGACAATGCAGGAATTTTGCTTGCTTCGTACTTTCATACTTATTTTTATTCCCAATAATATGTTTACTTAATATATAGTGTTGAAGATTTACAAGAGGATTACTGGGACAGTCTGACTGTGAAGATCTTCAGAGAGCCATTACCCGACTTAGTGACTGGGCAAAAACATGGCAGCTTCCTCTCGCCCCGCATAAAACGCTTTGCATGAGAATTTCCTTGGATTCGGGAGCCATTCCTCACCCGTACACCATAGATGGTGTTGCCGTCTCCCCAGTCAACTCTGTTAGGGACCTTGGCTTTCGTTACTCCAACACTTTAGACTTTTCCGAACATATTAAAAACCGATGTAACTTGGCTTTTCTTAGGACGCATCACATTTTCAAGGGTTTGTCCTCAACTAACAAGTCTGTTCTGCTCAAGGCACACAACATACGTTCGTCCTTTAGTAGAGACACTAAGAACGGATGTTGATAGCTTTGGGAAGGTGCAAAACAACCCTATACTCGCAAAATTCTTTTGCGAACCAGGAGCTTCTTGTATTCGAGGGTTCCCAAAGCTTCCATCAGGAACAAATACTTCGAACTTCCCACCCTTGAAACACGTCGGATGGTAGCGGATGTGTGCATGGTTTATAAGCTTATGTACGGGTCTGTAGGGTCAATTCCTCTCAATTTGTTTGAAATCCAGCAATCACGGACCAGAGGTGGGCAAGCTAAAATTCTCTTAGCTTGTCCAAGGACCAGGGTGAGAGCCGCTAGCTTCTCATTCAGAGCCGCGAGCACATATAAGAGGGTCACAAAGAATTTATCCATTCCCAGTACTGTGCGACAGCTTAAGAGGATTGTAGCTTCACGGCTTCTTAGTTACGTAACATCCTAGTTGCTTGAGATTGACTTCAGAATTTCCTAACTTCATCAATAGTGGAATAGTCCTCCGCGTCATCGGTGCCAAGCTCCGAAGCGCTTCATTTCATTTCACTTTGATTAGTTTGATATCTTCTTGATAGACTGAGTGAGCGTATTTTCCTAGTTGATATATCGTTGTCGTTTGTTCCCAGAAAGTTTTTTTTCGTGATGTTCTTTGTTTCTTGTTCTCTCACGTTTGCCTTATGCAGCGTAATAAACATAACATAACATAAATGAAGTGTTATATACTATTCGGAAGCTCATCTCATGCTCTTTCTAAATGATACTCCAAGATTGGTTGTAATTCATTTTATTATAATTTTTATTGACATTTTATTGCAGATGTCAAAACGTGAATTTCGCACTATTTTTTTCTATGAGTTCAAGCTAGGCCGAAACGCTGCCGAGACAGCTCGGAAACATTCAACGAAGTTTGGGGTCAAGGAAGTGTCAACGAATGTACGGTCCAACGTTGGTTCCAGAAGTTTCGCTGTGGCAACACCAGCCTTGAAGATGAACTCATGTTTGGTGGTCTGCCGCCGGTCTCATCCATCACAGCTTCCTGAATCCTGGTGAAACAATTACGGCAGAGAAGTACTGTCAACAAATCGACGAAATGCATCAGAAGCCTTAACGCATGTGCCCAAGGTTGGTCAATATGAAGGGACTCCACGATTCCGGACTCTTCTCCACGACAATGCCCGACCACACTTTGCACAATTTACCCTCCAGAAAATAAACGGATTGGGCTATGAAACTCTGCCTCATCCACCATACTCACCAGACCTGTCGCCCACCGATCACCACTTTTTCAAGCATCTGGACAACTATCTTAGAGAGAAAGGCTTCAAAAACCAAGACGATGTCAAAAACGCCTTCAACGATTTTGTGGCCTCTAAAAAGAATTACAACCAATCTTGAAGTATCATTTAGAAAGAGCATTAGATAAGCTTTCGAATGATATATAACACTTACATTTTATTGGAATAAAATAAGTATTAAATACAAAAAACGAAATCCTGCATTTCTTTTGCAACGACCTAATAGAAAACGAGTAATACGAACGATGTGATACAGTAATATCATTTGCTCGCTCTACCAATTGAGGAGAATGGGCTCGGCCAGCGCCGAACTCATCCCCCCCCTGACACGCCCTACCGTCCGCAGCGATTCACACTATATGGACACTTTGTGTAGGTGAGATAGCAAGCTGAAGCCTAGCCAGCTCTCGAGGAGATGACGCTTATGTGAACTATTCTGTTTTCAGTTGAAAAATGTGATTGTTAGAAGAAGAAAGAATAAATACCTCGTAGAAACAAACCGTCTTTTTGACACCCTCCGTGAGCTGATGGAACATTATCAGAAAAATTCCGGCAAGCTCAACAAGGTGCTTAGTTTGGAAATGTACACAACTGATGGAAGTTTTGTACTTGCAAAATGGAAGAGTACTGCATAATCGAAAATGGTTGAAATGAATGCAATTTCAGTTCACATTCGCTTTAACGAATCCGATCAAATTACAACCATGGGAGTTCTTACACACTGATGTGAAGCAAGGTAATTTGCTAGGAACGGGTGCATTTGGCGAAGTCCGAGCAGGAACGCTACAGTTAAAAACTGGTGAAACTGTCGATGTGGCCATAAAAGTTGTAAGTTACAAAAGTTCAAATGTTCGGGATATTTTTGGGTGAAGATTTTGTTTTTACGCTTTACTGTCGTCACTGTACTCGTCACGACGTCAACGATGTGCAGTTGGCGTCGTTGCAATCAGTCGGGTCGGTTTCAAGAGGTATAGGCTGCCTTCACCGACGCGTTTCCTTCAATGGTTGTTTTTTATATCGATAACTAGCCTATCATCATTGTTAGAGCAAGGCACACGGAGACAAGCTCATCCCGCCTACCCCTGACCACCCCCAACTGATTGCGATACTTGAGATAATAAGTAAGCCTTCACATACACTCTAGTTCGCCGCAGACGGTTGGGCGTGTCAGGCAGTTGAGTGTGCACACCGTCAAAGCCGTTCTCTGCCTTCTTGTTGAAGCGCGCATGCGACAAAAAGTGGTAGAAAACGAGTAATACGAACGATATGATACAGTCATATCACTTGCTCGCTTAACAACTGGTGGAGAACGGGTTTGGCACCGCGCCAAACTCATCCCGCCTGACACGCCCAACCGTCCGCAGCGAACTACACTATATATAGCATAGTATATAGTAGTATCATTCCAGACAAAAGGATCATCTGATTTATGTAAAGCAAAAATCAAGGAAAATGATGAAAGAAGCTCGGC